ATACCCTTCACTGTGAGCAAGGTAATTTACATGAACACTCATTGCCCTCTTACTAAAGAGATAACACAGACTACTATTTTTTAAGTGAGCTGGGTTAGGTTTTTTAATAGTAAAAAAAATTGCAAACCAGGGTCAATGAATGACCCTGCTAATAAAGGATTACTTCTGGGAATTGACCAAACAAACATTTAGCTCACTGTGCCAATCTCAAACCTGGAGATCAAATCACTCTTCGCTAGTCTTGCACTGACTTCAGCAAAACCAACTAGGGGATTGCACTTTTTCTGAGCATAACCTTTTCCAGGCTTAAGCTGGCCATACACCTATCGATTATCGTTAGATTTCTTTTGTGCCCTCATCGAACCGTTGTTCGACTTCTGCTTGAATACGCAATCATGCACAGACCAATGTCGATTTTGATTATTGTTTGTTAGCAATACTAACTCATTGAATTCCGTCAATCGACATAACAGATTTTCTTTTGTGCAGTGTTCATGGTGCAATATTTTTTGTACGGAAATGCCACTAATCCATCGATTTTCGTACCATTCCAAAAAGGTTTTACAGCCTGACCGATCGAGAAAATACAGTAAAAAAAAATCATAGGGTTCCCATCAACTGATCGATTATCGTCTGAAAGACCATTCGTGTACAATTTACAAATTTCCTTTAGGATGGACCCAGCAATTAGCTTGTTACTGTCTCACAGCTGTCAAATGCAGGTATCCAAATATCAACTAGGAAGCACTTAAAAAAACAAAAACAAAAAACAGAATACAACCCTACAAGACATATTTTATTTTTATTCCACCACTACATTTCCAAGCCGTATTTGGAAATATGAATTCTGATGTTAATGTAAATGCAAGAGCAGAAACACAAGAAAGGTCTTACTTTCCTTTCATCTAAATATATTTCCTTTTTGTGTTTACACAAATCCTAACGTGTCTACAGAAAAATATAAACCACCTACACATAAAAAATGTATAGCAAAGCTGATTTAAGAAAGCATACATTCTAAAAATGTCTAAAAGTGATGAAAAATCCAAAGTGCAGAGTTATCACCAGAACAAGAATAGATGGGAAATCTTCCATTGCAATGAGAACACCTGTTTCAGTTCTAACGGTCTAAGGGGGATTTGAATCGCTTTGGAAAGATTTTCTTCTTCTTCCTGCTGTATCTACCAGACCGGAAGTGAAAGGAAATCTTCCGCAACTGATGGAAAAATAGAAAAACCTGACAAGTGTGTTGACATAATTCACTGCTCAATCCAAAATGAACTGTTTAGCACTGCGCAAAGGCTTTAAGAGGGGGGCCTAAAATAATGTTCCGTCTCTGAAAACATCAGTTAGTTGCCAATGGGCATATCCACAACACCAGTGCCTCAGGAAGGGGTGGGTAAGTGTAGCTTACCTTCACCCCACAGGACCTTTCTGTAAATGGCCTATTTCTAAATCATTTTATGGACTGTTGATGGTGTGGAAAATCCATTTCCCATAAGTATAGAGTGAATGATTAAAGAGGGGGTCCCCTTATCTTTAGAGCCTTCTTCTCAAAGTCCCCACCTGGTTCTAAAAATTATAGAGGCTGGCATCAGCATGGCAGAAGGTCTGCATACGTAGTTCTTCAACCATCAGAGTACGATCCCATATTTCTGGTGTGTCAGGATGGTATTTTAGTCAAGTGAGCAGCAAAGTTAATTTTTTTATTAATTTTAATACAAACTGTTATATTTATACATATTAAAAGGGGAAAATGGTTGGACAAAAATACTGGTGGATAGGTATTCGAAAAGCAGGGATATTGCTGATGGAACAGATTTTTTTGATTATTAATGTCTTCTATTTCACAAATATTACTATTTGGCCTACCCTTTTATTTAAATGTTTATGTCACGCTTATACTACCATGTGTACTTGTGTAAGCTTAATTAGGATTCTATAAAATAAATAGTGAATATATCTTAATTTGGGAAAATGGAATTACCTGTTCCAATCTGGCCCCCTCTCTCCCCCCACTATACTTACCTTTTGGTGAACGCTCCTTCTCCTCCGCCGGAATGGGTGTAGTATCCATACCCTGTACTGGCACTACAATATTTACTTGTAGTTTGATTACAAAAATAGGGCACCTAATTATTCTGGATACTGGATAAAATCAAGAATACATCCCTGTAAAATTTCCACTACATATTCTTCAGTTGGAAAAAATATCTTGCAGGGCCTAAGTTTTATCATGCATATGTTGATTTTCTATTTTTTGCAAAGGTCTGGTACATAACTAACATTTTTTATACATTCTTCTATACAAACAGTAGCATTTTCTGTGAAACTTTGTTTACAATGTGTTTCTAGTCTTTTGTGCATTTGGCTCCGGCAATCTTCTAGGATATAGCAATTTCCACTAAGACATCTCAGCAATACAAATCTCATTTTGGTCTACATTTTCTACCCATCGAACACAGTGGGAATTTGATGAATTGCAGCAGAATTGAACACTAATCCTAAGAGAGTTATCATGAGCCTGCTTAGTATTGGTCTCCATTATTGGCTTTGTAGTTCTGTGCCTCTGGGGAGTTATGCTATTTTTTTATTGCTTCCCAATACGAGGCCCTGGAATCTTGATTACATTCTTACTTAACTTCAACTGTAAGATAAAATCTGTTCTAACACAAAATAGGTAAATACCTGTGTAGCAGCAATTGAAACAATGTTTAACAACGAGATGACTGCACATTGTATTATGAAAGTGACCAGTACAAGATGCTGATGGTGAAATGTATCAAAACTGGTGCAGACAGAATCGGGAGCAGCTGTGCATGACAACCAAGCAGCGTCTCTCTTTCATTTTCAAAACTTAACTGAACAAACTGAAGAGAGAAGCTGATAGCTATGGGCAACTGCTCCAGAATCTGTCTTCTCCAGTTTTGATAAATTCTCCTCTGAATGTTTGGCCCAAATGTTGACAGACAGATAAATCTATAGGAAAACAGAACATACAGTGAAATGATGGATAAGTTGAAATGGTTACCCAACATGGACCAATGGTTTCTAAGCAACATGAAAGACTAGACTAACTATAGTAATGGGTGAAAGAACCAAAGAAAGGTGTGACTAATAAATGGGATGGACAAAGGAAACAAGCCTGACAAAAGAAGGTAAAACAACCTTTAATTATTAAATTACCCCCTTAAAGCGACTCTGTCAATATCTTTAAAACCGGAAAAAGAAGTCCTCTGTGCAAAGCAAGCAATTAATACTTACCTGTGTGTGCTGAATTCCTGTTGGTTGGAAAAAGAAGCTTGCTCAAAGATCTTCTGCATTCAACACTTCTGGCAGTGTCTGATGCTGGTTCTTGCTCTGCCAGCTCCTACATTGTTACAGAACACGGAAGCGATGTAGGGGCCGGGGAAAGGAACCACAACTCACAACGGGTAGAAAAGCATCTGACATACACAGAACGGCAGCTGCCTTCTAATTCCAAAAAAACTAAGTGGTTGGAGAAAAGTCAGGAAGCTGGCATTTTAAATCATACCGGAATTCTTCAGAGCCAACACAAAACATCCTATATTAGACTGTTCCTACTGTATATCCCATTAGATAAAGGCACCTGCTCCGAAAAATGGAACTACACACATGGAGATTTTTGTCCATGATATTTTTCTAGTTCATAGGCAATACCACTAATTCAGCGGTTACAGCTTTTATAAATGAAACTTTTCCTAATGCCATCCTAATATTTCACACAAAAAAGAAATTAGCAAACAAAGTAAATTTACAGGCTTGTTCATAAAAAGTAACTAAATGATTATTTCCATCTTATTACCCTACTAAATACCACCTGCTGTTTTTCTATTTCATAATAGTGTGACAAAGTAACGGGTAAAGTATAAAAACAAGGGGTGCAATTTTGCCAGCAAAAACAGAAATAAAAGTGCAAAAGATAATTATGCCATTTCTATAATGGAATATACTACATTTAGTGTTTCTATAAAATCCAGGTAGAAAGTCCCCTTGGCTTTCTGCTTTACTGAAAACCCTCTTCTTTGGATTTAAATGGGGTCCATTTGAAAGTGGTGTTGCTGATTCTCTTTGAGCAGAGCAGTCTAAATAGAGACTTCATGAAAAAAATTAAATCAGGGCATGTGAATACAGAGCACCTAGCTCATATGGCATCTGAGGCAGAAACCTTCTAATTTTTTTTAAATTTTTTTTTTTACACTGCCCCCCTCAAAATTATTTTCAGTAATAATTATACAATTATTAAATTAAAGGGGAGGGGAGGAATCCCTGTGGGGGTGGGGAAGGGGGGGTGACTGACAATAATCGGTCTCTGCAGGGAGAGGATCATGAGCTGAGTGATCAGCGGTTTGTGATCATTCAGTTCTCGATCTATAGAGCCGACGTGTCACAGCTTAAGTGTCACATGCTGGCTCTAACTATGGGGATGAGGGCATTTTCCCCTCCCCATAATTCTACTTTAACATTTGGAGATATCGGTTGTCCACCTCTTCTGACATTTAGTTTAATGTGGTCTGTGGATCATGAGAAATTGTCTACATATATTGTGTATATGAAAACAGCATTCCAGTTCTAATATTAATACTTAAAGTGACAAAAGCAAATATTTTTTAACTCAGAAGCCAAAGGAGTACTGTTTTCTGAGGCCCTGTCAGCAGCTGCTTTGTCAGAATACTTCAGTATTATTCTTTGTTCACAATAATATCATGTTGTTGTTTTAAGGGATTCTTCTGTGAATCCTACTGTGTGAAACACTTTGATGTAAACTCCACACAGAGCAAGAGGCCTAAATTACAAATGAAATAAAATCCATTAATGAATAATTCTCATTCATGAATAATTCCTCTATAGATTACATAGCTGGCTGATATCAAGTATTTTTGACATATATAAATCAGTCAACCTGCTATATCATTCTGATTTTCTGTAGGCCATATAACATTTTGATAAAAATATCTGACATGGGTAGAAATTCCTACCTCCTGATATAGATCGATGAGATCTCCATGGTGTGCTTGTTTGGCGCATCCTGGGTATTCTTTCACACAGCAGGAATCAGGGGGCCAATCCATCTCTGTCATCTCTAGCCAGTCAGTCAAATACACCACTCCGCAGCACCTGAACTGTTAAAATTAAGTCAATACTATTTATCTCTCACATAACTGTTCCACGCACCATAAGAAATAAGCTGTAAGCATTCTAGAGGAAAAAGCTTGCTGTATATTGACAAAATCATTCTGCATGAAGATAACATTTTATTCTTAAGTAATGCATACTTATATACTACAATTAAAAAATTCATTTTTCCTAACCTATTGTAATTTTTTTTTACATTAAAGTGCTTGTACATACAGCATGATTCTGTGTCGGGATGAACTAATTCACAGTTGCTTGTGTGGGAGTTAGTTTTTTGGGCCCAGTCTATCAAGAGCCCGAAGACTCCAAACCCAGAAGACGGCCAGGAGAAGAGAGAAAGCAATGTCGATGGAGCAGATTGCTTTGCTAGGTAAATCTGCCATAATGTGGATATATGTGATGCATACATTATGGCAAAAACTTCCTAGAGGCCCAAAATTTGAATTCCGTCTGGTGGTTTACTTCCACTTGAACTGAATTTTTTAAATCTTGATCACTCCTTTGTTTTAAATGTTTGAAACATCTTTAGGCCAGATTCATAATGTTTTGATGTAACACATATGCATTAGCATAGATTAATATACCCATTTGCATGAATTGCATTAATGCAGGCCATTTAGTGTGAGATTTATTGTCATTCATTTTGTTCAAATGTATGAGTTGTGCACTATAATGCAAATGCACTGTGGTGTACTGTGAATGTGCATCAGGGCCCATTTAAAATCTATGCAATGCAAAATGTTGAATGAAAATGAATAGGTAGTTACTAGACAATCCAAAACTGAAAATGTGGTCAATCTAATAATAATATTACAGCTCAAAAACTGGTATTCTAGTGGCCCCCACCCCCATGCATAAGCCATTAGTTTCTTAGTTGTCACCATGGCAACTTGCATATGATGGTTCCAAGATCATTTTTAATATGGTCAAGGAACAATTAAGTTCAGGAAAAAACTCTTAAAGCAGACAGTAATTACATTAATGACTTCCATTACAAACCAAAAAAATGGCAGTTATTTATTATTTAAAGGGCAGCTCTTTGTCTGGACGTTGCTGCTTGTCCTGTATTATGCCCCAAATTCCTGGTAATCATAATTTCTGGGCTGTACAGCCAACCTACAACCTCTGCAGCCTATGTACAAACCATTGACATTCTGAGTACAGAGGCTGGTTCGTGTGCCTGGGCGATGGCAGGGCACTGACACAAAGTATAATGGTTATTTACCCGGCTGTAGGTCATGACACAGAAGGAGTAGGCCCATGTTGCTTGAGAAATTTCCTGTCAACATTATGGTGCATATGTCGGGCCCTGTACTCAGGTTTCCAGGGTTTTGGAGCACAAGTTGTGGCAACTGTGACAAGGCCACACAGTGCAAAAAAAAAGATACCGTATATGCCGGCGTATAGAACAGTCGTTCTATATATATAGGTCGTCTTATACGCCGGGTATACTTCGGCTACATACAGTATACCGCGCTGAGCCAATCACGGCAGACTTTGTATTCATTAATACAAAGCCGGTATCAATGAATACAAAGCCTGTATTAATGAATGCAAAGCCTGCCGTGATTGGCTCAGCGCTGAGGGAATACCGCCATGGATGTTAGTGGGTGCATTTAAACATTATTTTGGGCTATACTTGTCTTATACGACGGGTATAGCCCAAAACCTATATTTTAACACAAAAAGTAGGGGGTCGTCTTATACGCCCAGTCGTCTTATACGCCGGCAAATATGATATTTACCCGGAGTGTATGTCTAAGGGAATTTATCAACTACATTAGTCCAAGCCCTCCCTGCCCCACATAGTCCTTGTGTGCCAGTATTCATTGTAATTGTAATAACAGTAATTTCAAATCTCCTACTAATAGGGAAGGGCATGAAAAGGGGAGACGTTTCATTAAGTGATATAAGGCCAAATAAAGGAGATAATGAGGCAGTGTTTGAAGCTTTTTAGTTCTGACTATAAATCTTTTTTTCAGTAAAATGGTATTAAAGTCATAAAATGTATTTATTTATTACAGGTACTTATATAGCTGTGACAATTTACCCAGTGCTTTACATAGTTACACATTCACATCAGTCCCTACCCTCAAGGAGCTTATAATCTAAGGTCCCTATACATACAAGGGCCAATTTAGACTGGAACCAATTAACCTTCCAGCATGTCTTTGGAGTGTGGGAGGAGACCAGAGTACTCGAAGGAAACCCACACAAGCACAGGAGAACATGAAAACTGAAATCTATAGTAGGCTAAAACCAGTAACATGATAATGTTTACTATGTTGCATAAAAATTATCGTATTCTCTAAAGTTCTATATTAATGCTAACAATATGTCAATTATATTTTTATGAAATGCAGTACTTCCTTGGAACAAAAAAAACTTAATTGCCTGTGTATTTTTAACAACTATCACTAAATAATAAACTGGAAGAGTATGTTGGCATTTTGAACCTAAACCATGGATAGATGAATGATATGAAGTTTCAGCTGTGTTCACTATGTTTACTATACTATAACGATCTATAAGGATCTTGCATTACATGCTAACCCCTATCATACCCAGTAGGTGGCACTGGAGAATCACCAGATGCCAGTTATTTACATAGCTAACTTAATTGAAAGAAAATGTCAATGAAGGTCAGCTTAAGACAAACTCTATCAGTTTGTACTCAAAGGAAAGCAGTGCAAAACCCCCTAATCTTTACTTTACAAGAGCAAAATAGGTTCTTTTTGACCCAACAAACATACCTGGAAAACATATTCCAATACTTGAATTCCATTAGTTGAAACCAAATTGTCCAGTTTTTTTGCCAACTACATGCAGCAGGGAATTCCATAGCTTAAGAAAAAATGCTGCTTAAAAAAATAAAACTTGCTCACTTATTCATGGTAAAACTGTTCTTTCTCTATAGGCATCTGATGTCCCCAGTATGGCGTTTAGGGTAAAAGACAATTTAACAAATCTCTATACTGACCTTGGAATACGTTTATGCATATTATTTGATTTCTACCTAACCCAAGAACTGATTTTCTTTTCTTGCAGCCGTTGCTAAGCATTGCATTTTGCTGATTAGTATAATGTTAGCCAGTATTCCCAATTTCCTTCTTCGGCTCCGGCTTTCACTTACTGTAGTGTATAGGAGGTAATAATGTTGGCAAGGTCTAGGTGAAAATACTTATATTTGCTTATTTGCATTCAATTTTATCTGCAATTGCTGTCTATATTATCAGTTTTTTTAGATGTGTAATACGTAATAATCCTGCTGAGTTTAAACATTTCTACATAAACTTGTACCATCATCAAAAAATAGCAACATTAGTTTCTGTTCCATTCATCAGGTTTTTAGGAAAAAGATTGCATGAAATGATTTGAATGATAATCCTAGTGGAAAAAAATGACCAACTTCTACCCATTTTAAAGAGGTTCACTCTACAGCTACCCTTTACTTTCTGTCCTTTACCCATGCATGTACTGTATGTGCATTGCCCCCTTGGCCCCTAAATAGCATCTATACCAGTTTTTTTAATGAGAAATGGTATAAAATGCTTTTCAAAAATCCAATCACATCAGCATTCTCAACAACCAGAATAACTCCTATTCAAATTTGTATCTATGTCAGGGGCACCGTAGTCATAGAAGCTGTAAAATAAAAGCTGGATGAGTATATATTAGCGTGGTTCACACCTGTGTTCTAAATTGCGCACAATCCCACAGCGCGCAAAAACATCTTTTTTTTTTTGCAGACACGCTGTGATGCCATTTATTTTAAATGGCACCAGAAACATGCCTGTCAAAGCATGTGCATTGTAGCTCACCAAAACACATGGTACAAAAGTATTATGCATTTTGGTGTGCGCATTTAAAAGAAGAAAAAAAAAGTGCACTCACTTCTTTGGTGCGACTGGGTGTGTTAGGCCAAAGCAGAAGAGGTAGTCACCGGCACTCCAGTATTCACTCCTTTAATATTCTTTTATTGACTTCTAAAAGGTAATTTCACAATGCAAGGCAACGTTTCTAAACCTTGACGGTCCCTTCATCATCATCACTTTGTTTGACTGATGAAGGGACCGACATGGTTCCAAAACATTGCCTTGCATTGTGAAATGACCTTTTATAAAGGCAATAAAAGAATATTGAAGGAGTGATTACTGGAATGCCTGTGACTACCTCTTCTGCTTTAGATTGATTGGCGGTGCTATACGCGGTCACTGCAGCACCCACCTGTGAACTATGGATATATTCTGGTCAGCAGTGCGTGAGATCCACAGATGTTTGACGTGTTAGGCAGCCCTTTAAAAACAATGGGATTCACAAACATGCCACACCTTAACGCATGCAAAAATGCAAAAATCTGCCTGCATACCAACACACAACCACAGGTTTGTCCCTAGTCTTAAACATACTAAAAGTGCCGTCTGCATTTCTGAACTTTTTAATAAGTTTCAATGATGAATGCAGTATAACTGCACAACAGCTTCTGCCATTAACTGTTTAAGATATCCCCACTGTCAGTGAAATCTGCTTTTTTTTTTTCCCCCATCATGGTCTGTAAAAAACGTGACAACTCTTTCTCTCCTCTCTTTTTCTGGCATAATGGTTGCTTATTGACTTTCACTAAACATGTCATGCTTGACTAAATAACTGTCAGTACTGCACTGTGGGACTTAATGTCTAATTTTAACAATTCTATCAAAGCAGAAACAGCATGACCTGTTGTGTGCCAAGTAAGAAAAGCTAGGGTGATCTTGGAAAATTATCAAAATATGACAGGAAGGGGATAACAGAAAATGTTGCTAGGGCTCACATCACATACAATTTTTGCAACACAGGCAAACTGCATGGAACTTGGATCAAACTGCCTGGATCAATGTGATTTAAAAAAACTGTTGTTTTGGAAAACTTTAAGAACAAAAAAAGTGAAAAAAGTTGTATTAGCATAGGTAAAATGGACCATTGAATGAACAGTGTAATGCATGTGGGC